TATCTATGTTATTATAACCAGTAGACATAGCTAACCTTGGTTGCTCTCATACTAATGATTTCAGCTAATCAAGGTTGCGCCTCACAGCATTAACAGCCAACTCTCTGACAGCCGACTTTCCAGCAATGACAGCCAAGTTCGAACTAGCCGATGAGATTTAGCTGGTACCAACCTTATTTCTCTGAACGCGCGGACGTGCGCATCTTTGCGCTCACGCACGGACGACGAATAATCGCACGCGTCTTCCGCCGCGGCGATTCGTCGCGCTTTATTTATAGTCGAGATTCGGGGGGACCGCTCGTCACCGGGCATTACGGGGATCGAACGATGATTTAGACATTCTGCTTCGCTTGAGGTTCTTAAAAAAAAAAGAGGAACAATTCCGACGTGACAACCGACTGAGCGAGATAACGAGAAAGTTCGAAACGTGCGGCTGCACGTCACGCTACTCCCCGGACGGCTCTCCGTACGTCGCCAAGTTAAAAGCGTTAAGACAATTATTTCTAGAACAATAGAATTCCGCGCGGCGTGTTGCAATTTGCGATTACAATTGAGCGTGCGCGCGCACGCACACGCGAATAATATCCATACAATGCTCGATACGCACTACGTGCGAGCGGCTAGCGCGTTCGCATGCGGGTTTTAATATAATACCGAGAGCGGAGAGGAAAGAGGGAGAGAAAGAAAAAAGGGGGAAGGGAACAAAGAAAGAGTAACATAATGCCGTGTCCAGACGAAGAAATTGACGGAGGAGGCTCTTTTTGCGTGTACGCGAGAGCAACCACCGAATCGATCCAGTGCGCACGAGAGAGAGAGAAAGGGAGAGAAGGCGAAACAAGTAGCGGTGATCGCGAGCGTATCCGCGCGCGGCATTGCGCGTTCGAGATCGGGGAAAAAAAATGCGCGGTTGAGGAACTTTCCAAATTGCCGGGCAAGCCGGGAGCGGACAACGTCGTGCGATTGCGAGTGTCTCTCGCAGGGATTCCGCCGCAACCCCTCTCCCGAGGATACATTTCTGGAGCTCGAGCGGAGAAAGGAGGGAGAGAGAAAACGCGCGTCGCTGGAGAGGCAAAACGAGATATCCGCTATGTCGCTACTAAAAGCACGCGACGTATAAGCACGTAATCGCCGGGAGAAAGGGGGGAGAAAGGGCGGAACCCGTATCTGCGAGGAAAATCCGATTTGCAAGAAGCTGCGAAACTCGCCGGGCTGCGCGCGCGATACTCGCGCAGCTGATGTAATTCAGGATCGATAAGTTCGGATCGCGATACGCGAAAAGCGCACCACTGAGGCGCGCGTATCGATTCTCCGTATATTACTCTCATTATATAAGCTCTACATTCTTTTTTTCTCTTTCTCTCCCCCCCCCCCC